GCGTACCGGAAATACAGAAGCTTCACCGGCTTTGCAACTTATCCGAACCTTGTTCTAAAATTAGGATATGACTCTAACAGAAAAGAAGCCACGCGAAGCGCACGCTCCCCAGAAGATTTAGAAGTCTTAGAGAGAAGGAGGGTTTCATAGCAGTTTATATACAGTTCAAACAATATCAAAGCGGTAAAAAGCGGCATTTAGCACATTAGGCTCAAACACGTAAAAATCAGATAATAGACAAAAATCAAGTATAACAGTTATTCTAAGCTCGAATTCTGAACCCTGAACCAGAGATTCTGGGTTCGTTCGCCAGCATGGTCGCCAGAGCTCTCACACATCTTTTTTCCCACAGGGGGATATGGGGATAGGGGAGTTTTTTCAATTAAAGTGACAATATTCGAAATTGGATTATTTATTTGATCAGAGTTGCCACTTGGAATAATTTATGGTGTCCCAAGTCACCGGTTTATTTTAAATCCCAAATCGAGAAAATTTGACTCTATTTATGGTCTGCGAACACAGAAAATCGGGTAAAGAATTCTGTTAACCCGTGAGAAGGTATGAGGCACTCCCGAATTCCGTAGTTTTAGTACGGTCGCTCAACTATTAATAATTGGCATAATTATATGATTAATACAGATTTATAACCTATTGTGCATTTTAGCTTTTTAACCGCTTTTAATTATTTATGGAAATTATTTGAACAAGTCGCGATGTCTCACACTCGCTTGTTTTTGTACACATTGTGAATCGCGCCACGTGAAATGTACCTGCGATTTACAACATGTTAATTTTTATTATTATTCAAAGTTCTGATCGGGTCACATGAAATGCACACCCGAATTCGGATTACGTATCATGGCTATGCCACGGGAACCGTACCCATAGTCACGATATTTATTATTAATCGCGCCTGAAACAAGCTACGAATGTATACTAATTCGAGTCATAAACCTTTCTTTAATACTGCCTTTGGCTCGTCTCGACTCATGGCTTATTAATGAAATAAACAATGGATTTTTCTAGAACCCATCTCCTATTCTTTTGTTCTTTTCACTTATGTCTCAACCAATTAATTTTATTTACACGTCAATAACTGAAAGTTTGTCGTCAATCCTAAAAATGTAAACATTGTCTCAAAAGGCTACCACAATGTATCCAATACGTATTAAAAAAAAATCTAAAAGAAGTGGAAAACAGAGGATGCTATGAACTTGAAAGAGACAGTTGAGACAATTCAACTAGCAAGCACAATAATCTTAGTAAAACAATGCATTTCGTCCATCCTGGTGTCACTCAAATCAGATCCAACCTTTAACTATATTAATAAGTTCGCTTCAATGATTTAGGGTGGCAAGACATAGAATACAGCATTTTGAAAAACCCATTTGCAACTCATATTAGGACTTATGTTAGGCACATAAAAATTATCAGTTTATACTAAATTACTACTAGTGATTCAAATTCTGGACTACTTATGCAGGCCACTAGATTGGTGTTATTTATTTCCATAGAAGCTACTGAGATCTACAACATACTCAAAAACAAAAACCAATTTCATCAAGCACATAACATCAATTTGCAAACTACGTGGTTCACAAATAAAACTCCCTGACAGAGTATTGGAATGAAAATATTTCATAGCACTAGAATATCCGGAAGTAATCATTTTATTTTTTAAAACTGCAAACATACCTTAGACAACAAAAAACCACTCAAAATTAGCCAAATGAAGCTGAAATAGAAGGCTAAGGCTCGAAGTGGTCAACAGAATACTCAACAGCAGTAAACAGCAGTGATTTGAGGCCAAATTGATCTCTTAGAGCCCCAGAAAGTAGGAAGCAAACCAAACCAGTAGAAACTCTTTCGAAATCTCTTTTAAATCCCAATTTTCTGTCTTTTAGAACTTTTCTTTCATCTTAGATCTCAGCTAGAATTTTTAACTCCAAGCTTTTACTCGCAGCTTTTTGAATGTGAAGAACGTTTGATTCGTGTGTGAAGTTTGTATCTATGAATGTGTTTGTGTGTGCATTGGGTGAGCACAGAGGAGTGAGAGTGAGTGAGATCAAAGAAGGGAGGTCTGGCGGCTAGGATTTTTTTTTAGGGAAGGGGTCTGTCCATTTTCTATCTCTGATCTTTTGAATCCCCGGGGAGAGTGAAATTAGGGTCTCCTCTAATAGAGTGGGAGAGAAGAGTATGGGCCAGACTATGGGGTGGATTGGGCTTCTACATGTATGGGCTTGAAACAATTGCAAAATTAGTCACTTTGGACTCAAATTTTAATTAAAACCAATTTGTGTGGCTAAACTATTATATATATTTTACTCACTAATTGACTAATGACCTAATTAATTAACTAGCCTAAGAATGCATATTTTGGTTTTTAGATATTTAAATAATGCATTTAACAATGCAATTAAATCCTAAACATGCAATTTAAAAACTAAAATGCTATGAAATTAAGATTTGAATATTTTTATGATTTTTATGATTTACTATATTCCTAACATGCATAAACAATGCGAATAAATACAAAATAAATAAAGAAAAACTTCTAAAGTTCATAAAATAATTAAAATTATTTTTTAGATTATTTTTAGGAGTAATTTAATATGTGGGACAAAAATCAGGTGTTCACACCGCCGACTTCTTCTTATCCATTCCCTCCGAGCAGCTGTCCCCTCTCCCACCTCAGTCTCAGCAAAGGGACCAAAAGCACACACACATACACACACAAAAGCTTCGAACAAGAGGAGTGAAAGGGATCTGGATAGCCGCTTCAATTTTTGCTGGTTTTGCACTACATTCTTTTGAAAGTTTTAAGGCTTAATCGGGCTGGAATCATATTATTTCTGCTGCTATTTTACTTGAATCCGCTGCTGAACTCCTACCCTACTGCTTCCTTCAGCTTTTATTTAGCTGCGTTAGCTTTGTTTCCTACCGATCCAGGTACTAATTTCATTCTCAGATTATGTATTGCCATGCGGATGTTTTAGCATTATAAAATTTGCCTCAGTTTGTTCATCTATATGTTCGCTGAATACTCCTTCACTGTTTAACCTTAAATTCGAATTGGACCGAGTACACTGAGAAATAAGGATATGAGGTGAATTCATAAATAACTGTATGTGTTGTTTGGACATTGTTCGAATTCCTTGGATTTTGAATTTTGGAATTTTGTTTGTTGTTTTTTTTTTTGGCAGAATTAGTATGAAATGAACCTGTAATGACTATATTTTGGGTTACAGTGATTAGCAAAATTAGTATGTGAGTGACTGTTATTTGTATATATTTCCTAAGAGTCAACTAGCTCATTTATCTAGCATATAACAGAAACATGAAATTAGTTTTAGATTGGGGAATCTTATAGTTCATAAATGCCAATTGCTAAATCTCCGTGATTTTGAGTTGAACAGAGTTCTTAGACCATGAATTGTGTTTGTCTTGGTGACCATGGCTAGCACTCAGTACCGGTGGGCTTGTTACAGAAGCCCAAACTCTTTGAAACATTGTAAAGTTTCTTTGAAATCACTATAGGCGCATATGAGCTTATATAAAAAATGACTGCCAAAGCAATTCTAGTAATTCTAATGCTTTTCTCCAAAATAACTTCGTTAATAATTTAAAAGAATGAACTACTCTCCACATATGAAGATCCATGAATTCTAGACTTCACACTTAATCCTGATCATAGAAAGAAATACTAATGAATATCGTAGCTTGCTTTAGGCGCGATTAACAAATCATCGTGATTATGGGTACGGTTCTCATGGCATGGTCACGATACGTAAATCCCAATTCGAGTGTGTGTTCCACGTGACTCGACCGTAACTTCAAATAATAATAAAAATAAACATGTTGTAAGTCGCGGGTGCGTTTCACGTGACGCGATTCACAATGTGTACAAAAACAATAGGTGCGCGACATCGCAACTTATTTAAATAAATTCCATAAATATTAAAAGCGGTATAAAAGCGGTAATGCACAAAAGGTTCTAAAACATGTAATAATTCAGATAATTAGGCCAATTATTAATAGTTGAGCGACCGTGCTAAAATCACGAAACTCGAAAATGCCTAACACCTTCTCCCGGGTTAACAGAATTCCTTACCCGATCTTCTGTGTTCGCGGACCATGAATAGAGTTAATTTCCTCGATTTGAGATTTTAAAATAAACCAGTGACTTGGGACACCATAAATATTCCAAGTGGCGACTCTGATTAAACAAATAATCTCATTTCGATTAATGTCACTTTAATGGAAAAAACTCCCCTATCTCCCTCCCCTCGAAAAAAGGAGGTGTGACATATATTATTATTTTCATGATAAGAAAGCGTGTAAAAGCACAAAGGGTAATGCCGTGCCAATTTCACATTATTAATTATTGAATTTTGAAGTGAGGAAGACAGTTAAAGTACGAAGGGTGATGCCGTGTCATTTTTTTATTATCAGCTGCTCATTTTATTGTTGATGAATTAATTGACTGCTACGTGACACTCACTACAAGAAAAACTGCCTTTAAGGAAGGGAAATATGGTCCCTAAAGATCCAATTCTGGCCCTAATAATTCAATTGTGACGGGAATAATCTGGTCGCCACCCGTCGCAATAGCTTCCGCCGCTAAAGGTCTACAACGACGATTTAGAAACCTGGTCGTTAAATGTTTTAAGAGATGAGAGAAAAATCTAGTCGTTAAATACTTTTAGAGACAACATATCTCGTCCCTAATAGACCATTAACATATTATTCCAATATATATATTATGGTCGATAAATAGTATTAGAGACCAGCCTTTCCGTCCCAAATAGGCAAGCTTAAATATTATGAGAAATATATATTTTCTAGCCGTTAGCACTTTTAGCGACCAGCTTTTACCTGGTCGTAGATTATATTTTGGAGACGAGTCCTACTGGTCCCTTCTGGTCTCTTATTAACCACAAGTAGTCCTAAAGCTCGATGTCACAAAAAAGTTAAATTTATAAATAAATATCAAATTGCTACTAAACAGTCTTGATATAAAAAGATATTAATTACAATGTAAACATCCCATGATGTTAGTTTCAATATTTGCTCAACATCTTAACAAAAAACTTAGCTAACATCCTGAGTTAGACAACGATAACAAGTTTTACATAACATTTCTAGCAAAACAATAATGAGCTTGTGTATCTTCCAAACTTGCATTCTTGTAGCTTCAATCTTCAAAACCTGTAAGTAAACAATTTTGAAAATATGATGAATAACTAATTGTAAAATAATATATGTAAAATTACACTTGCAATGGTTAAATTGCTTACTCCAAAAGCAGTCGAAATTCATCAGGTGTTATCCAGCAACATCAACAAGGCTGCAGAAATATAAGAAAAATTAATTAGAAAAGTTTTGGGACGGTAAATCAAACTTCGATTCGAAAAAAACCAGCACTTTATTATTTTGTTTTTTACTGTTCATGCTTCAGATGAAGATGCAGAGTAACACAAAGTTGAAGGTCCAAAGAGAGTGTCATAGAATCAGACATAAGAAGTAAGATGCAGCCAATGAAGGAACAACTTCCAAGTACCATAAATCACTTTTACACCATATTTGAGCCTAATGTATTCATTTCAAGTTGTCGAGACTACTTCAAGAATGAAATGTCATTAATTGACAATTGTTAGCATGTTGATATTCAGTACATGTTTAAAGATTATGTGATCTTCTTAGTATATCAATCTATGCTAGATATCAACATGTAAAACAAACTTATTTAAATGTAAGAGTTATTCTGCATTAGCTACTTAAAACTTTAAGCATCACGATAACGTGCAAGAAGTATCTTATAGACAATTAGCCTAAACTAGTCCTATACAACTTTGCAAGAACAAAACTAATACAAACTTTGGCATGTTAATCATTTTGGCACATAATGGTCTGGGAATTTGTCCATACGTGTCCTGGAAAGGCTTAGGTAAAGTAAAACGAAGTCACAAGTATGTTTTTATGATACAAACAGTGCACGTCTGCAGCCCAAAAGCTTAAAGAAAAAGTATGTGTGTCCAGAATTGTTATGCAGGCAGCACATGGATACTTCAGAGAAGCTCCTGACCCCAGCTAATGTAACAAGAAATACAGCAAATCAGACTCAACACGGAATGAGAGCTTATTTAAAGAGCAGGCAGTAGAATGGATTTAGTAAAGCATATACTTCTATTACCAAAACACTTAACGTGTTTTAACCACCTAATACTTTGGATTTGCACTTAAAGAACTAACAGAATTCAGCCTTCTTTATGCTTTTTTCCTTACAATGTGGCAAGTCATATCTCTTGCCATGGTGAACAGAAACTTGGGCACACGACTCTTGGATCAATGATGATAGAATTAGTTGTGATAAAAGAATCTCAATACATGGTATAGTGATGGGATTCTTCTGTTTACTCATAGTTTACTCGCTAGTGAAATCAAATAACTGATAGAATCTATAAGATAGAAATGACTATATGTAAATCAACACAAAATTAAAAAGTAAGGTATATTATTACTAACTTCGCCAGCAGACAAAAATAGTCATTTAGTTGAAACAGGCGATGTCGTAGGCGAGACATGTGATTGTTGAGCAGCGAAGAATTCCCTTATTTTCTTCATTTCTTTCATCTGATCTTAAAATATATTCTAACAGAAATAAGATGAGTGGATTCTGATGGCACTAAGCTAGTGGATAGAATGAAGCCACTAATAGAATCCTAAAAAATATGCTTTGCCTTTTTTTAATACCTGAAGTGCTCGTGAACTCAAGAAATGCTACTACTTCAGAATTCAGATAGGGTGGACTAAGGTTGATTTGAATTGTTTACATATTTGGTATGTTTCACTGCTTTTACGATTAAAGATAAGACTGCAATTTTAGGTAATCAAGCATGCCTAACATTTTTTTGGCCTCTGTATGAGCATAATCATTGTTGTATAATGTGCAGAATCTTCTAAAGAATTCTGAACATAATTCAACACGAAATGTAGAAAAAAGTAACACTCCTCCATCCATACTCGTTACGATCATATGCTTACAATCAGAAGACACTAACACAAATAAAAGACTATAAATTAACTTGTAATTAAATATGCTGGTTCCCTAAAACTTGTATACATGGTTCCATTTAGCCTGTTCCGAGATCGAAGTAAGTACTTACACCAAAGAAAAATATAAACAGTATACTTTACGATACAAAATCATCCAAAATAGTCGTGTGCGTCTGAAAGACTACTTCTTGTTAGTTGGTGTGAGCTTATGAATTTTCCTGAGTTCTTAACATGTATTAAGATTCATGTTCCCTGCTATTTCATTTTTCTTACATACAAAGACCCATATTCTCTTGCTTAGTTATATGAAAGAAAAATATATATATGAATACATTGTTAGCTGTATGTTAGACATTACTTGGCTCATAAACTAACTTCTCCTCATAGTTATGCAAAATTAATCAGGTCTTACCTTTGTTAAGTATACCAAAATCTTCTTTCAGAGAGCTTAAAATCTAATGAATTTCAAATATTATCATTTTTTTGGTGCAGTTTTCTTAATCCACCTAAGCTGTTCATAGTACCGTTCAGAGAAATTTACAACACTGATGTTACACAAGGCAGTAACTGCAGAAAGCAATTCTGGATGCCCAATCTCCAGCTACATATAAAGCATGCCATATATGCATCTAATCTGTGTGGAACTCTAATGTCATCAATCAGACAAAAGGTATTTCCAACTACCAACTCTTTTGATAAATAAGATTTCAAGCAGCTAACTACTAGATTAAAGTAAGAGCTAAAACATTTGTAAAATGAAAGTATGTGTCAGATTTTTATTTTTTGAACAGATGAAAATGAATAGTAGAACTTGCAACCCTTGTTTTTTTGAACAAAGAAAATGAAAACCTTTTTCAGATGTAAAATATATACACCAATATATTTATTTCATTGCAGGCAACAAGGAATTGCAATTTTCCCAGATGCTATCTCATTACTGCATTCAGCAACAAGAGGGGTTGCTCTGATGGTAAGCAACCTCCACTTCCAACCAAGAGGTTGTGAGTTCGAGTCACCCAAAGAGCAAGGTGGAGAGTTCTTGGAGGGAAGGATGCCGAGGGTCTATTGGAAACAGCCTCTCTACCTCATGGTAGGGGTAAGGTCTGCGTACACACTACCCTCCCCAGACCCTACTAGTGGGATTATACTGAGTTGTTGTTGTTGTTGTTGTATTGCAGGCAACAAGGAATTGTAATTTTCCCAGATGCTATCTCATTACTGCATTTACATTCAGAGTAGGTACTGACAAATAAGAGAGAAATCAATACACTATTTATGCCATAGGATATGTCACTAACCATCACTCAAAACAAACTGCTGCTAACTCCTGCTCTATATAGATGCAAACCAGACAAGGTTGCAACAGTAACTTTGGTATTTGCAGATGCAAATAAAACATCTCCTACTTCTCAATTGTAGGTCAATTAATAAGCTATTACATATTCTCATTCATGAAATCCAGCATATCTTTAAACTAAATTCTTTCTCGTTGTCTTTTTAAGATTCGCTAAGCACAATATTTTTCTACAAGCCACTAGGTATCATTAAACACAATTTTAGCAATTCAAGAAGGTGCTTTCGGCACTCTTCTATAATACACAAACCAGATTGCTACTTACAGGGATTAGTTAAGTGGGAAAGGCAGAAGCACACATCAACGAAGCAAAAGAAGGCAATTAAAATTTGCCGCAAAGAATGCCGAATCGCAATTTTAAATAAACTTCAGAAAATTAAATTATCAAATTAGGAATCCTAGCCCAATAATTTTTTCACTGATTATACAAAAGAAAAAAAATACCAAAATATGAAACCTTACCAATTTTTTAATGTTAGAGAAGAAGAAGAAGAAGATCGAAGAACTCGAATAAGCGAAGCAACCAGCGAAAAAGAGCAACTTGAAATAGGGGCATACCACGGATTCTCAAACGAGCGAGATGGAAACTTGAGCAGATTCACACACAATCAGATTCACAACTAGTGTTTTGAGAAAATACAGATAAAGGAGACGGGCAAAGCTTGGCGAAATACTAGGGCAGAGCTGATGCGCGCGCGACTTGTGTTGAGAATACATAGAGTTTCTTTACTTTTTAAAGCTTTTTATTCAATATATTAGTTTTGGCGCCTAATTTTTCAGAAAATAATAGTTTTTTAATATTTTGGTATTAGATTTGGGGCACACTCTTATGGTCAATGCCCCTCAATTATAATTTGGGACCAGTTACTAATTTCTTTAGGGACCAGATTTAGTATCTTCGCAATAAAATAAAGCATTAAGGACCGCAATATAATCTCGTCCCAATAAATATATTTTTTGTGACAAGATTATTAACTCATCCCTAAAAGTTGGTCGTAAATAAAGCTTTTTCTTGTAGTGACTTGTCCTGCTGAAATTATTATATCATCCCCCTTCGCATGTTCCCTCCCAAATTTATAAATTGTTATTTATTGTACTATTGTTGCTTCGTAAGTGTACATACTTGTACAAGTTGTTTACGTACGTGTCTTGTCATAGCCTCGTCACTACTTTGTCGAGGTTAGGCTCGATACTTATGAAGTACATAGGGTCGGTTGTACTCATACTACACTCTACATTTCTTGTGCAGATTTTGGAGTTGGTCCAAGCGGAGTACCATAGACTTGCTCGAATTCAGCTACTCAGAGGAGACTTGAGGTATAAATGCAGCGTCCGCAGTTTTGAAGTCTCCTTCTATCTTATCTTAGATGTGTATTATCTTTCAAACAGCTTGAATTTTATTCAGACCTTTGTTTGTATTATCCTAGTAGCTCGTGTACTTGTGACACCAGATTCGGGGATGTATTTTGATGATTCGGTTGTTGTGGTTTTCCGCACTTTATTTCAGTAATTGACTTTCGCTTAAATTGATTTGTTTAGAAATGGTTAAGATTTTTCTAACGTTGGCTTGCCTAGCAAGTGAAATGTTAGGCGTCATCACGGTCCAGAAGGTGGGAATTTCGGATCGTGACAAATGTTTTGGCTCTTATCACACATATTAAGGAATTCACCTTTTAGCATTAATTAACTATGATATTGACCATATTAACCTTAATTTATTAATTAAAAATATAACAATTATACTCCTAGGCCTTTACTTCAAGGGCAACTTTGAAAAAAAGAAGTTAATTCTTTCTTGATACTTGAAAAAATAAAATATTTCGGACCATAAAAAAAGGCCAAAAAATTAATTAAATTGGACCGGAGGGAGTAATTATTTGACCGTTTTTAGACCACAAATTTTAAAAATATTTTTTATTTCTTAAATCTTGTGCCCAATTTAAGTGTGTGACATGACTTTCTTCTTTTCTTAAACTTGGTGCCCAATTTGATTGTATTACATGAAATGGAAAGAAGGAAATGCTAGTAATAAATACTTTTTCCGTTCACTTTTACTTATCCAGTATTCTAAAAATAGATTTTAATTTTTACTGTCACTTTTAGCATATCAAGAGAAGACATTTTTTTTTCCTATTATATCCACAGTATTAATTACTTATTTCAAATTATTTTCTCAAATCCTTTAAAAAGATGTATTATTTAATATGTGTATGATAATAAATTATATATTTTATTTATTATTTCTTAAGAGATACAAATTGAATAGTGGACAATAAAAAGTGAAAAAGAAGGAATAAATAGTAAGGAAAAGATCGCGAGCCGTCTGATAAACGTGCACGGAACACTACAATAATACGCAAGAATAGCGCATGAACCGCAGAATATTAAAGGTAGCGGTGAAATAACTATGGAAATAAATATGAGACAATCACATGTCTCACATGTAATTAACGACTGTTTTTGTGTTCGGGAATGCCATTTTTCTGTACATATTCTTTTACACCTTTTTATTTATTTGTTTATTTATGGAAGTGTGAGATTCGTGTTTGAAGCGTCTATTTTACTTATCAACTCCCGTCCTTGGCCCCCACACCCAACTCCACCATTTAAAGTTGTATATATTCATTCAAAGTCTCTTTATTCTTCTTCATTATCTCCTATCACATCTTGAACTTGTTTCCAACTACTGTTCTTCATTATTAATTCTTTAATATTCTCTTCCTTAATCCTTAATCTGTGGTAGTGTCTGTGGCTGAAGTTGTAAAAAGATGAGAAGAAACTGTAACTTGGAGCTAAGACTTGTTCCTCCTTGTGTTTCAGCTTTTTCTCCTAAAGATTGTACTACGATCCCTTACTTCTCCATGTAAATCTCTCTCTCTCTCTCTCCCCCCATTGAGTTTTGAAGTTCAATCAACCCCTTTTCTGTGATTTCATTGATATTATACTCCCTTTGTTTCAATTTGTGTGATATACTTTGATTGATAAAGAATATAACAAGAAAAAGACTTTTCAAATTGAAAATCAATTATAAATATTTGTGTTTCTATAAATCATCTTGGTAAGTAAAATATTTAAAATTAAATTATTTTTTAATATAGAAATGTAGCATTCTTTTTAAAATATACTAAAAAGAAAAGTGTATCACAAATTGTGACAGGAAAATAGATACGCACATATGGCATCGCTTACATAAAATACCTATCTTTATAGACTAGTTTTATAAATATGCATATGGTATTGATTTTCTTTTCCCTTATATAGGAGGGATAACGAGGGCACAGAAGAGAAGCAACAGCAGCAGCTAACAATATTCTACAATGGAAAAGTTGTGGTTTTTGATGCTACAGAGCTGCAGGTATGTGTATCTATCGATCCCTCTCTTTTTAGTTTCTGTGTTTTTTGTTTACTGGAAGAACAAAACCTTTTAGGCACTTGACTCACTTCAGTATGAATTGGAATGGAGTTTAACTTCCTGTATATGTACCAGATTTTTACATTATTTGATAAGTTAAGAGATAATTATGAACGATTAGTATTTGTTCATAAAAAGTAAAATTAATAACATTATAAAATAAAAAAATATTATTTACTACAAAAAATTCAATTTGAACGTGCGGTTTGGTGGAAATGATCAATTTGTGTACAAATTTTTCTTCTAGTATTATACATTAGTAATGATGCAACTTCATGTCACATTCGCGCAAGGTGGTCCAAAGAAATTTGATAACAAATTTTGAACTGAAATTTCATGTAAATTCATATAAAATAAAATAATTCAACCCAAGAAAGGAAAGTCAGGGTGCCTTTTAACCTTTTTGGGGAGAGGGATGGTCAAGAATTGAAAATAATAGATGGATTTTGGTTAAGGAAGATTCATGTTTTTTTATTTTTCCTAAAACAATATAGGATCAATGACAATTTTGATCGTACAGAGATTGTGACCATACAAAAGAAAATAACTTTCTTCTATAATTTGCAGTGTTTTAAAAGGCATTTTCGGGGCGAGACGTATCAAAAATGCCCCGAGACGATGGTGTGGGGCGAAAGTCTCAAGAGGCGTACGCCCAACAATTCGGGGGTATGCCCGGACGTTTGAGATGCATTTTTGTAGTAAGACGTAAGCCCCAGAGACTTTTTCAAATTAAAACAAAATTTGTTGAATAAATCGTTCATATAATACCCAAATTCTCAAAAGTCAGTTTGCAAGTACTCAAAAGTTTTAAAAAAAAGAACTGGAATATCTTAAATTTAAAAGTAAAGACTTTTTTTTTCTATAAATTGAAGCCCTAATTAATGGTCTTTCCAAATTTTTTATCTTGTCCGCTAGTCTGTTAATATCTCCCAAAAGTAACTAATATTCAAAAAACAAATTACAAATACAAAGAGAACTTCATTCTTCTTCATAGCAACAAGTTTAAAGTTTAAATTGCAGGTTAATCATCCTTTTTATTCCTCCATGTAGCAAACTTTATTGTTTTCGACTCAAATTACTTGTGTTTGTAAGCATATAATAGATTGTTTTGACTAGTTTTTTGTGGGGATGGAGCGCGCGCGCGCGCACACACATATACATACATACA